ACACACACACACACACACACTCTCACACTCACACAAAAACATTACTTAGACAGAAAAATGGTCATAGTTTGGCTGACTGTCAGGTTCTTTCTGATCTTCCTGAACACTCACTCTTGACCACAGTGACTCATCCCATTTTCCCTTTGTGCAAAGTACAGCATTATATCTTTTTTGCAGCACTAAACGTTTTAGTTTCTCTGTAGCAGAAAAAAAGAAGCTTTTCTGCACCCGCTGCACAAGTGTGATGTATGGAATATGAAACTAGTCCTACGAGGACAGAAATGATGTTTCGAGTCAGTAATAATACACTGATGTGGACAGGTTGAGAACACTCACATTGTTTTCCTGATGTTTGTTGTTCTTCATAAGCGTGATGATGCAGTTGTGAATGAAAAATGCTAGTGTGAGAACCCCAGTCAGCTGAGGAAACAGCGATCTGAACTCTAACTCAATCAGAGATAACAAAGACAAGCACACGTTACACAGAGAACAGTAAGTGTTGATTCACACTATCACAACTCTTTCACATGACTCGTGTCAGGGCTTTGATTGCCTCCAGACATCATGGGAAGAAAAACGACTCACTAAACTGGAGTACCTGATTTTGCACTGGTAATGGCCATTTAATCATCACTTAAACGTCATACAATTTATTCCATCAATCACTGGATGAGTTCAAAATATTCAGAGGCAAATGGGGTAAAAGTTGAAATAGGTTTTTTTTTTTAATCTTTTTTTACTTTTACATTACAACACTTCACCTACACAACGTTGTAGGGGTTACGATGTGGACTGATGTTTAGCTTTGTCAAGTTCACTGCAGTCATGCGAAAGGAAGTGAATAAAGAACCATAAATATCCCTTTAAAATGAGTTACAGGTGATTTCAAAACATTGCATGAAAAAAAAAAAAAGGGAAGAAAAACGACTCACTAAACTGGAGTACCTGATTTTGCACTGGTAATGGCCATTTAATCATCACTTAAACGTCATACAATTTATTCCATCAATCACTGGATGAGTTCAAAATATTCAGAGGCAAATGGGGTAAAAGTTGAAATAGGTTTTTTTTTTAAATCTTTTTTTACTTTTACATTACAACACTTCACCTACACAACGTTGTAGGGGTTACGACGTGGACTGATGTTTAGCTTTGTCAAGTTCACTGCAGTCATGCGAAAGGAAGTGAATAAAGAACCATAAATATCCCTTTAAAATGAGTTACAGGTGATTTCAAAACATTGCATGAAAAAAAAAAAAAAAGATTCTTTTACCTGGAACAAAAAACGTTGATGAATCAAACCAGTGGAAGTCCAGGTGAAAGCCCAGTCGAATGGCTTTATATGTGACCAAAAAGATGAGATAAACCACCGACAAGGTGCCTGTGAAAATAAATGAAAACCTCAGCTAACGGAGCAAAACACAAGCTGCTGTTCATCCCCGTCAAAGCAGAAATATTACCACTCTAGCTGGGAAAATAAAGGCCATACCGAGGAAGGTGAACCTGGCGAAGAAGGACGCGGAACGGAAATTGAGCAGCGGCAGCAGCAGAACAATGAGGTAAAACGGGATGGTGTTGGTTTTACTCCACCAAAGATCAAACACCTGTCCTGTGCTGTTCTCTCCCGCATAGTATTGGAGAGTGCTGCTGTCTCCATCTGGATCCAAATTTGGATATGGACAGATCACTAGTGAAAGAGACAATTGTTATTCTGAATGAATGGTCAAGCACATGAAATGCAGCATGTCTAAAGAATATATTGATTCCAATACTGGACCAGTATTATAAACTGACATTTTAGGCAAATCAGTTCAAAAGTTACGACAATATCTTTTTAAACCAAATTTAACAGATTTTTTTAAATTTTTTTTATTTAAGTTTCGTTTCAATAAGCAGAAGCATTACCAAGATACAGATATTTGCCTTTTGTGATCTTCACAGTCAGATTTGTGAAAGTGTCACAGAAAAATGGTTTGGAATATCAAAAATCCAGGGATTAATTCTCTGAAAATCACATGGGGCAAAGAATATGATTTTTTTTTTTTAAACAGTCTGTACCAATATTAATAAAAAAAAGATACAAAACTGATATCAATTACAATAATTAATTACAAAAAATACCTGGAACAAACAAAGCACACTCAGAATAAAAAGTCAGTTATTCAAGCGGTTTGTGACAATTAGGACTGGGTGAAGAATTACACTTTAA